TCCACTCTCGGCTTTCTACTCTTTGTTAAGTTTTGATCTTTGTTACCTTTTTTATTCCCTGGTTGAAAGTGATATTACGTATCACGCATAAAAAATGTTGTTGATTTATTAAAGTTTTTAAATATTATTTGAAGCGTTTTATTGTCACCGTAGTAAGATATGACTATGTATTAACATATTTTTTTAACAGAAGGATCTTTTTTATAAGAAAGAGAATTTAACTAAATATTAAATATTTAGATTAGATATTAAATATTTAGTTAAATAAGATAATTGCAGCGGTAAAATAAGCTGTTTTAGGTGAAGTTAGTACCATCAAATTTTAAATGAAAATATGAAAGCGAATATAAGAGATTGTGTGCAAAAACAATTATATTTAGTGCTAGAGTTTTGTTAGCCAAACCCATAAAAATATGTTAACAGCGATAGAGGTGTATAAGATACGAAATGAGTATATTAGAGGAAGTTTGAGAGTAGCCCCCATAATAGAGAAGGTTAGGAGTAAAAGGTTAGCATGGTATGGGCATGTTATGAGAAGGGATGAATCGCATGTAACAAGACGGACGTTAGTTATAAATGTGGAGGGGTACATCGGTAGAGGTAGACCTAGAAAGAGATGGATGGATTGCGTGAAATGTGACATGATCAAGAAAGGAGTGATGACTGCTTTTGAGGGCGAAAACCGGGTGCGCCGACCCTACGGGAGTAGGATAAGGCAGGGGAGATGATGATGACGATCGTTAGAGGTGTATAAATAAAAAAAACAATAACTATTAGGCATACTTCAGTTAGTTTTTGAGCTATGAACTGGAAAATTACTTAGGGTAGAACTCGAAAAAAATTGTTAAAAAATTGAAATTCTAACTTGTGTTACAATGTTTTGTAATTAATGTGTGTGTTAATATTTTTAATTACAAATCCATAAGTAATGGAACTTAAAAAAAATAACAAGTTTTTTAGTTACCTTAAAACTATCGCAAACCAGAGTGCGATTGTCGCTTGTTTCGCAGCCAAGTCAACTGTTTAATTGCACAACTATAAGTTAAATAGTGTGCGCACCTCCATATAAGCTCATAGGAATCAAAGCGAGACTAAATAGTTATGCGATAGTTTAGTTTCAGGTGTGCGTACCCTCTTATTCTTCTTTTATCGGGTCTGTAACTTAGTACTTCGAAGTGGTCTATATTTCTACTACTATTTTTAACTCTCTAAGCGGCTGACAGCAGGCTTCCTCTTTTGGGTAACCATCGTAAAAGTGTAGAAAGTCAAACAGTAAATCAACTCTAGAAGTAATTGCCGTATATTTACGAAGAATAATAGTTACTTAAATACGAATACAAGTTAGAAACAAGCCATGTAGCGATTGCAAAACAGATAAAAGATATATCGAGATGAATCGTAAGAAATACAAGTGGCAGAGTTTTGAGAGCTATCGATAAGATGCGGATAAGATAGGCATTGCGGTAAGATGACACTATCTCAGTCACCAGACCACAGGCGATGGCGGCTCTAGGAATATTATTAGGTAAGTTTATATTCATAATAAGATCTTAAATCATCATCATCACGAGCTCACTATAAGTCCCCATTGGAGGGCTCGGACCCTACCCTAATAAGAGGTGACTAGGCGTTATTCAACTTGGCTGGCCCAGTGCGGGTTGTTTGACTTCAATTTGAATTTATTCGCAGATATGTGCAGGTGAAACACGATGTTTTCCTTCATCGTAAGAACGTTGGGTAAATTATGTACATATGAAATTCAAGAACCAAAAATCATATTGGTACATGGCGGGATTCGAATCCAAGTATCCAAGTCCTGTAAATTACAAGTCAAATACTTAAATCCCTAAGCCACCGACGCTCAAAATCTTACAGAACTTCCCAACTCCATAAGCCAACATATTTCTCGAAGAATATATTTTATACTCTTGTATTAAGGTCTGGCGACGCTGAGCACCCGCGCGTTCGGGGTGGCTCTGCCGTCGCGTGCAGATGACGTCACGTTGTCCTTAGAGCCTCAGATCACAGGCGGCTTCCAGCTCAGCCTTGATAAAGGTAACCAACACTAAAGTCTAACAGCAACAGTTTGTTCAGAAAAGTTTTTCATAAGATACTTTTCTGAGGTCTTAACTTCTTAAGTCTTCCACAAAGGCTAGTGTCGTTTCTCTCTAATTTATAATTTAACTTCGTCAGACAATGAGCGTACAGTATACGGCCACATCGGTCGCACGCTGGTCTCCACTTACACCGCGGAGGAGGTGGAGGGTGGCATGGAGATACACATCGGAGGTGTCAACTTGACTGTACACACACTTTATGATGATGCTTCTGATGCTAGAGGCATCAAGATCAAGTGGAATTCACTAACGCCGCTTCGACTGGAAGACTGCTTTGACTTTGGTAATGTATAGTTTCCATTGTTTTTCTAATAATTTCTGGGTACTGTTTTCAATGCATTCAATATATACTTACTAGTTATTGGTACTTTCTAGTCTATGTCGTTTTTTGATCTTGTTCATTTGTACTATACTTCTGTACTTTTTTAGGCACAAAACACTGGTACGGCGGCCCAATGCAAGTAGAACAAGTCTACCCGATAGAGAGTGCAAAGCAAGTGTACACGCCTTATTTCTCTAAAGAGCAAGACAATGGTGCCATTGTCGAGAGATACTGGCTCAACTCCGCCGGCGAGTACATCTACGTTCATCCACAAGTACCTCTCTTCGTTGACTATAACAACATCGCTCCCAATCACATCTGCTTCGGCGCACAAATCTCTGAACCATACTCCACTAGGAGAAACCATATAGAACTGAGTTACGATCTCTGGTTCCTTCCTAACGTGAAAGAAGCCCACAAACACGCGATAGATAATTATTTAGGTAAACCATCAGGAGTACCTGATTATAGGATGGTCCAGCATCCGATTTGGTCTACTTGGGCGCAGTATTCCAGAGACGTAGACCAGGAGAAAGTACTAGAGTTCGCTAAGCAGATCAGAGGGTATGGGTTCAGTGACTCTCAATTAGAGATCGACGATCTGTGGGAGACGTGCTACGGGACGCTGGAGGTGGACGAGAGGAAGTTCCCGAACATGACGGGTCTGGTGCGGGAACTGAAAGCGATGGGATTCCGCGTCACCATTTGGATGCATCCCTTCATCAATAACAACTGCGAGCCGATATACACTGAGGCTTTGAACAACGGGTAAGTAAAAAAGAACTGAATTATGTATTTACCAATGGCTGGATCTAAACCCACATATAGAAAGTA